AACCGGAGGCGGCCCCGCGGAATGCCCGCGGGCCACAGTCAGGCGGCGAGTTCTGGAGGGCGCCGCACTGGTCTCGGCTTGTTTGGGTTAAGCTCTCGGCCCAGTGGGTTTCCTGCTACATTGGGCACCAGGTGCCCGCAGCGCAGCCTCCCGGCCTCCCGCGGGGCGCGGCGGGGCGCGGGTGGAGAGCCCGCTGGGGCGCGCGGTTTCCCGGAAAGTCCTTTACAGGGAAGGGGCGGCATCCGGAACGAAAATTAAGCGAAAATGCCTCATTAAGCGTCAAAGCTAAAACTAGCAAACTCTGCGAAGAAAACGGGCAAATCTTCGTAAGTGTGGGTCACACAATTGCTTTTTATTTTTATTTTATTGTTTTAATCTTCACATGAGGATATGTTTAGAGAGAGGGAGAGAGAAACATCGACGTGAGAGAAATATCGGTGCCTGGACTGGGCATGGAGCCCGCAGCCTAGGTATGTGCCGGGACTAGGTATCGAACCCACAACCTTTTGGTGCAGGGGAGGACACTCCAACAGACTGAGCCACCGGCCCAGGGCCACAATTGTTTTTTTTAGATAGGACACCACAAGCACAAATTGCTCTATATCTAATTGAAAACTTTGGGCTGCAAGCCCTCCAACACATAAGTGAAAAGACAACTTACAGAATAGAGTATCTGCACATCATAAGGTCTTGTATTGCAATATATAAAGAGCTCTTACAACTCAAGAACAAGACAAATAGCCCAACTTAGAAATGGGCAAAGGATTTCAATAGATATTTCTCCAAAGATAGATGTGAAAAGATGCTCACATCCTCAGGGAAACAGAAACCTCTGAGATACCACTCCACGTGGATGGTTATCCTTAAAAAGACAGACAACAGGAAGCGTTGGGGAGGGCGTGGAAAAATCATACGTCGCTGCTCATGGGCATGTAAAATAGGGCAGGCACTTTGGAAAACGCAGTTCTTCAACAAGTTAGACATGGAATTAGCATATGGCCCAGCAATTCCACTCCTAAGTATATACCCGAGAGAAATGAAAACATGTTCACACAAAAACCTGAACAAAAATGTTCATAGCAGCATTATTCAGGAGCCAAAAAGTGGCAACCACCCAAATGTCCATTCAGTTGATGGATAAGTAAACGTGGAAGGTGTTTCCATCCAACGGACTATTGTTCAGCAATAACAAGGACATTGACAAAGCTTGAAAACATTAAGGTAAAAGACACCAGTCACAGACGGCCACATGTTGTAGGAGTCCATTGACCTGAAACGTCCAGAATAGGTCAATCTATAAATAGGTTATAGATTGGCGGCTTCCTAGAACCGAGGGGGTAGGGCGAATGCTGATGGGCACGGAGTTTCTTTAGAAGGGATGCAAATGTTCTAAAGTTAGACTGAGGTGATGGCTGCACAATCCTGTGAATATACTAAAAACTTCAGGCGAATTACAAGGTATGTGAATTACATCCCAATGAAGCTTTTTTGTTTTGTGAAAGGGCAGGAGCGTGCTGCTTCTGCCGGATGAAACGCGAACGTGATCCCGAGACCTCGAGCTGCGTGCTGAGGCTGCCAGACTAAGAACAGCGCCCACCTCTCCTATGATCCTAAGGTATACGCTGCTTAGTCTAAGGCAAGTCATTCATTCCATTTTCTACACCTCAATTCTTCTTTAAAATCGAGGTATAATTGATAATGAACATTTTATTAGTTTCAGGTTTACAACATGATTCAGTATTTGCATATCTTGTGAAATGTGCTTCAGTTCTTTAACCTACGAAATGGGTACCTTCTGTTTCCTTGATTGCAGCCCTATCAACAGTGGAAGGATAATTAGATAATGCATGTGCTAAATATTTAATTCCTTGACAGTTAAACATAAACTCAAGCTGAAGTTTCTTTGGATAATAATTGTATGCATTTTTACCAGGTCTGGAAACACCTCATTCCCAGGATTTTTACTTTGTTGCATATACTACCACAGTTTTAAATATTTAAGTGAGTAAAACAAACGAACAAACAAACAAACAACTCCATCTTTTTTTTTTTTTTTTTGCACAAAAATGTAATGAATATAAAAGGTATTTGTTCCTAATAGCTATTCTTCTACTTAAAGTCATGGCATGTTCCTAATGCAATTTTTAAAGACAAATATGTTAGATTTCAGTAAATAGCAGGATCACAATAACCAAAGAGCCTTCTTTTTAATTAAAAAAACACACAAAAGATTGATACACTTAAAAATATCTGAAAGGATGAACACCAAAATGTCACCAGTGGTTATCTTCTTTAAAATAACCATTTGAATGGTGGAATAACAGAGGATTTAAAGATCATTTAAGCATATCTGCATTTTATAATTTTCTATGTATGTGAATTATCTGTGCAAAAATACATTTAAAGCAGACAACAGAGAGTCAAAGATTAGTCTGCTGAATAAACCACTGCTATTTGAAGATGAACTATGATGAGCAATATTTAAATTAAATAGTCTGTATTTAGAAATAGAACAAAGAAGTAAACCCTACCAAGGAATCTTCATGCTAGTTCAACTCAGGTCACAAGGATGGTTTAAAAAATAAACACAATGTTAAAATATCACATTTTAACATTTCCGAATATTAAGTGAAAGTAACATTAGTTAAAGTACCTGGCAAACAGAAGGCACCTAAGAAATACTTGTGGATTCTCAAACTGAATGACTTTGCCAAATAAAAATGACAAATGCACCTATATGTGTTTTATAACAAACAAGAATAAATCACTTCACAGATCCTTTTAATGAATAGTATTTCATCCTTATGACAACAGTTCTTTAACCAAGAGCAAAAGGTTGCTTTCAAAGTACTTTAAGGCACTCAGATAGATGCATACACGCCATATTTTCAACACAATGAAATGTAATAAAAAGTATTCTGAATGAGAGAAATATATAAAATAAGATCACTTTTATAACCTGGATAATGCATAGTAATTTAACCAATAAATTAGCATCTGCAAAGTTAGAAATGTACTTCTGTATATCAGCCCTAAAAATGATTTTCAAGAAACTGATGACAGTTTTGAACCCACTTAGGTCAAATTATATTCCACACCTACGATGCTCATTTCCGTTTGCCTTCCCTTGATAAATTCGGTTTATGTTTTCTAAAATCAACATGTTTTGACTATCCTACACATTTGATTAACAACTTTACAATGTGAAACTCTCAGGTAAAAAGCTTTCTCATATGATTCTCCTTTTAGACAACCTCTGAGAATGTTACGCACACTAGTGGGAGCTTTTAACAGTTACAAAAATGAAGGTTATTGCTGGTGACAGGTCTTTCCCTATAGGAACTTCCCACTGCAGTGCATTCTACATGGACACATAAGAAAACCCCCAATGTGTCTTCTGGTTAAATAACCACAAACTGGAAGATCCTCGAAGGAGGCTTTTCTATAGGTACAAGGCAAATATTTCCAATGAGAGGCCCCTTTACAGAAATATATGAAGAATCACATAATGACTATAATTATGCAAATAAAAATGATAAAATGTTTCATGACAGGCTTATATGAAACATTTTCTTACATATTCCTGAAAATACACTCATCATCCTCATGTTATTTTATATCTGAAAGAGTTCATTGATTTTTCTGTCCCCTCGTTATTTCAAAGAATGCCATTATATTTGTTTCACTGGAGACAGGGCTCTACCACAGCTGTAAGCATTACTGACTATTTTCGATTATATAGCTGTTCATCTCTGGGATTAAAAATGAAAGGAAAAGGGTTTCCTTTGTCCTGCGTCTCTTCCTAATAAAAAGACAGGCCTCTACCACAGAGAGGCTGGGCTCGAAAGGAAGCCTTCCTCACTGGGCCTCAGGCAGGAGACGCAGCTAAGAAACAGGTCATCTGGGTATGTGGGCGCTTCCCTTTCGCAATTCCTGAGCCCTTAGTAAAAACCTCGCCAGCCTGGTCTCCGCTGTGCCGCTGGAAGATGAGGTCCAGGTCTGTGCCAGGCCAGTTCAGACTCAAGGGGAACAGCCTAAGAACAAGCTGTGGGGCGAAGGGAAAACCCAGAGGCCCAGCAGCCCCAGTTCAGAGCAGGGTCTTCCACTGTCCGTGGCGGTTTCCTTTCTCAGGGTGGAGGCTTTAGGGCAGGACCTCCTTCGTCTACATACCTAAGAATCAAATGAGCTGAGAAATGCAGGGATCTGGGACTCGTCCCAGATGCGATGCATCAGAATGGCCTGGGGAAGGGCTCCTAGGAACAGGCGTTTGGAAAAGCTTCCCAAGTGATTCTTACGCTAAGGCTTGAGCCCACTGCAAATCATTGCTTTTTAAGAATGGCTCTTCCCGGGGGTCCACAAGGTCAAAACGATTCTCATAATCATCCCGAGACACTGCTTGTGTTCATTTTCTCATGAACGCAGAGTAGCACTGACTAGAGGCGACGTGATGTGTGATATCACAACAGATTGAACGTGGAAGCAGACAGGAGGTTCCATCTGCTTTCTCAGACGGGAAAGGCATTTGCAAAAAACGGAATAAAATGCCACATTTCTCACTAAATCTTTTTTTTTTAATGTTTTGGAAAATAGGCATTTTTCATAAAAATGTTTATATTAATGTGTTTATTATTCTTAAAGGAGTACTTATTTTATAACTTCTAATCGTTAATATATTTATAACCCACATAAAGAAAAGGTCTTGAGGCCAAATAGCTTGAGAACTGCTCTTTCCGGCAGATGTCAGTGCCCTGTGAACGTCACTGCTGACGGGCTGGTGACTCGGCTCTTCTGGCGCCCTCAGGGTATGTGTTGCTTTAAACATGATTCAACGGATCATTTGCAGAAAAGCTTCCTAAACTTACTTTTGGGCAGGGGGATGTAATCCGACAGTGAGATACCGAAGTCTGACCAGTTTTAAACTTTAAGAAACAAAGCATGTTTTCCTTAGTGGTATCGGAATGCAGTAAACAATCCTTTAATGTACACACAGGTGGCCTCTAACGTATGGAACAGAAAACATACATTACATAATGCATCTAAAAATATCCATCAGCAATGTGACATGAGAGTCTAAGTAAGTGGCCTCAAATGAATGGCTTCACTCCAAATGTTAGCTAAGTCCTTACTTCTTGAAAGAAAAGAAAATAGGGGATGAACTGAGGCTTCTGGAGAAAAAATAATTTTTTAAAAAATTACACTTCAGTGGGAGGTGGGGAGAGAGAGTAATCAGAGAACGTAGATGCGCACACATGCCCTGTGGCTACTGACAATAGCATGGAGAAGTCCTGGGGGAGGGGGGTAGACGCCTGGTGGAGGGGTTCAGTGGGGAGACAAGGGGGACATCTGTAATAGTTACAACAATAAAGGAGGGGGAAAAATTCTGTCATCAAAAGAAAAATGGGGGGGTCTCAATGATTAATTTAAAATAGTCAATAGAGGGCTTTTGATACATTTAAAAAATTACACTTCTCAAAAATGTGAAACATTAGTAGGCAGATTAATACTGACATTATACTGAGCTCCAGAATTTTACTCTTACATGAAAACACGTCTTAGATACTATTGCCAAATTAATATTTGAGTGTACCCTGCCCTTAGAGAATGCAAACTGAGAGCACTTTGAGGTCTAGGCATAGCCGTGGAGAAAGCAGTTACTTTCAGCCTTTTGATTGCATCTCAGGTATAAAATAATGACACTGCTGCGTTTAACCCGCCACGTATAATGTTTAATGAACTGCTATTTAAAAATTCTGAGACAGCTAACATTTAAATCAATCACTGCTGTTTCAATGAATGATGCTGTGAACATATTTGCTAATTGATACATTAAGATACTAAATGATGCAGTCATTTAATATATCTTATGTTGAATAACTGGTATTTGAAAGTAAGTATATTTTTCTGAGTAGCCTTTTGGGAGGCAGTGCATTGAATAGTTTCCAGCCACAGTTTGCTCTCCTAACTCGTACTTACTTCAAAATCTTCTAGTCCGGAGGGAGTTAAGTAGGACTCGAACCCAAAGTCCAGCGAACCTGACGTTCCCCCATTTCGGTTTGCATGTCCACTTATAACCATCATTTCTCTGCGAACTTTCCACTACGTGTCTCAAAAGTCAGTGCTATGACAGTTCTCCAGGAGGCCCGGCGGCCTTCTGGAGCCTCTGGATGACGACGGCGTTCTGCAGGTCCGCTTCCTCCAGAGTGAGCGCCTCGTCCAGGGCCCTGAGGCGAGGCCGAGCGGTCGCCAGCGAAAAGGGAGCGCTCCTCTGACACCCTTGGTACTTCTCGATGAAGTCTTTGATGTGGCTTATCCTGGAAAGCAGCACAAACTATTAATATAATTTTATGAAAATCTGAATGAGTTCATTTAAAGTAGTCACTTGTGAAGACACCTGGCTGTGTGACTGCATAGAAGCTTAAATTGTAACGACAGAACTGGTCACTTGGGCTGTCTTTTAAGGCTGGACCCTTGGCGACGGTAAGGAATTACTATTAGTCATCTTAGTGTGACAAGGGTATTATGGTTACATTTTTGGAGAGTACTCACCTTTCAGAGATGCACAGTGCAACACATATGAAGCTCTATGAAGTCTGGGGTTTGCTTAAAACCAGTTCAGTGGAAACTAAGTGACAGACCATTATCTTCCCTTCGCTTTTGTACATAGCTTGAAGTTTCTATAACAGAAAGTTTACATCTCTCCACACCTAGCTCTGAATGGATCAGGAGTGATCCAGCTGGTAATCCTACACGGACAGACACAGGTTTCTCTTAAACACCAGGCCATGCTCTACTCCCGATTCTCTCAGGAAAACCCTTCCCTCAGCGCTGGAGAACCTACGTCAGTGTAACGAACACAATGTAAAAGAGCCATCGCGCTCGTCAAGGCAGCCCGAAGTCACGTCCACCCAAGCCCGTGTGCGTGTAGGGAGGGGGGCGCCGACGCAGTTCAGCAAAGCTAAGATGCCACTGATTTTAAGACACATCATTCTATGTATTACGAAAAAAAAAAAATCCAGATCACGACAAAGTGTTTTCTTAACACTTAGCGTTTTTATTTTATATTTATTGAAAGGGCACTTTTAACTTAATTTCATACGGACATTTATCAGATCACTCATGTGCTTCCATAATATAATTAAGTGGTTAAGCCATTCCCAATGCCTGAACATTATTCAGATTTTTCTGTATTTTCATTCTTTTTCTACAGTTAAAAAGATATGCATATAATGCTAATGATCAATTTTAAAAATATATTGAAAATAATTCTTTTAAAATTATGTTAAACAGGAAAATTAATCAAACGAAAAGAATAATCTATAAAACAAACTGAAAATACTTAAGGTCCAAGAATTTCCATTGTCTTGATAAATTATGTTTAGAGAGCTGTTTATTAAGATCCTTGGTTCGTTCTTAAGACAACTCTTGGCTGAACTTAGCACAAGAAATTAAAATAAAAATTAGGGGCCCGGCGGGGTGTGGCTCAGCGGTTGAGCGTCGACCTAGGATCCAGGAGATCGGGGTTCAATTCCCGGTCAGGGCACATGCCCGGGTTGCGGGCTCGATCAATGACTCTCTCATCATTGATGTTTCTCTCGCTCTCTCCCTCTCCCTTCCTCTCTCTGAAGTCAATAAAGATATATATTTTTTTTAAAAATTAGGGGAAAAATTACACCAATAATGAAAGGAAAGACTCACCTATGAGACGTGTTAAATTTCTGAACAACCCTTTTCCCGCTGGCTAACCAGATCTGTATGTTAGTGATGGGCTCCAGGGTGTTTAGTGGGACAGTAGAAACATTATTTTTCTTCTCAACTTCGATACTTCTTGCTTTAGAAATAATTTTTGGTGTGGCACTAAAAAAATCCAGACAACAAAGTCAGACACACGTTTTTTCATTAAGCAGGACTTTATCATTAAGCAATTACTATAAAACTTTTACACTCAGTATAGTTTTTAGGAAGGTTTTAGTAAGTCATGGCTGTCTCCTCAATAACAACAGGAAGCTATTAATATTAGTATGTCCGTTATAGATGATTATAGAAATCTAATGAACTTATGCATATCCAAGTAATTTGTAAGCTTGTAGAGTGCTACATGAATATATTGTTAGTAGTCTAACTGATTAATAATATGGACTTTACCTACACCAGGTTAAAATTTCTAAAAGAAATGATAAGTTCCCTATGGAGATTAGTCCTTGGGAGAAGAAAGGAAACGAAGTATTTTCTGATCATTCGCAAAGTCACATCTGGGATATTTTTCTATATATGGACGAATCTGTATATACCTTACTGATCTTGATAATTAACATGGGAGAATTCACAAAAATACAAGTGATCCCACACCTAATCTCTTTGCATATTCAGTCATAAGACACAGACATAAAAAGACTGCAAAATCTGAAAATAACTAAAGGTTCTGATACTGCAAACATCTGGAAGGTATGACTAACACTGCATTTTTAAAGATATATTTATCACTTCATATAATCGAGCTTATTTTCATTAACAAAAAAAGAAAGGAAGGTTTTGATGCCGACACTAGCTTCACAGGCAATGTTTTCATTGCTGTTACCTCGAAGCTCAGGTGTGGATCACAGGTGAGTGTGAACACTGTCCTGTGTGAAACGCCGGCACGCGCTCTGCCTGCACCCCAAGGCCCAGCGAGGCGTAGGGGGAAAGGGGGGGACGCGTCATCCGACTGCCCGGTGTCCTCAACAAGCCGGGCCCGTTGGTCTGACTGCACCGAGCGAGCCTCCGAGGCTCCTTGACTGAGGCGCCAGCAGGTGCTGAGGTGGGAGGACGTCGGGGGGCCTCGTGAAGCTACCGTGGGGGACACACCCGCTCCCCGTCTCCCCGGCCCGCGCGCTCACCTCCCCAGCCGGTGGCCCGCGCCCGAGAAGGGCTGGAACACGGGCTTCGTGGCCGCACACACTTCGTGTTTCTTGTCTTCCACTTCCACATCCACCTCCTCCTTGCCCACGGCGCCCTGCAGCTCCAAAGGCAGCTCCCTGGGGGGGACAGAGTCACAAGGCTCACAAGGTGCTTTTCCCCTCTCTCTGAAAAACACACTCTTTATGCAGAAAGGACGGAAACACACGTAGAAGTAAGAGACATATCATCTTTACAATAAAAAGGCAAATGCATTTAAAATAATAGTTACATGGTACAAACACCCAAGACCAAGGACACCGCAGAGTGATTCTGAAGACTACAGATTCACGCACAGCTTGAGCACCTAGAATAGTACTGAAGTCATGAGATAGTTGGTGACCATATGCTGGTAAATTTAAACAATTTTTATCATTTTTATAGGTGTCTGAACAGGGCTAAAAATGTACGAGAAAAACCAAGCTCTCATTTCAATTTTTAAATGAAAATATAGTTTTATTCTGGAAATGACACATCAAATAAAATGTGAAACATGTTAGAATTTTTAACACTGTTTTCACATTTCATCTCTTAACTGAGAGATTAAAGGAGCACAGGATTTGGACTCATCAAGAAAATGAAAAGACAACACAAATAATGGGAGAAAAATCTTTTAAAATCATGCATCTGATAAGGGACTTGCATCCAGAACATATGAAGAACTCTCACAATGCAACGAAATGCAAGCAACCCACTTTTGAAAATAGGCAAAGAAAAAAATAAAGCATTTGAAGAGATATTTTGTTGAAAGAAGATGTACACATGGCTAATGTGTACATGAAAAGATGCTCCACGTCACTGGTCATGAGGGAAATGCAGGTCAAAACCACAATAAGATACCACTTCATAGCCGCTAGGATGGTTGTAACAGGAATTTTTTAAAAACTGACACGAACAAGTGCTCACAAGGATATGAAAAACTGGAACCTTCCTACACTGTTGGGGGGCTGTACAATGGTGCAGTCACTTTGGGATACAGTTTGGCATAACTTTTAAAAGTTAAATGTACATTAACACCACTTCTGCTCCAGGGCCTGAGAGAATTGAAAATACAGGTTCATACAAAAACTTGTAGACGAATGTTCAGAGTAGCATTTATTCATAACACCCAAAACGCAGAAATGACCCAAATGCTTAGCCACTGATAAACGGATCAACTAAACAGGATACCTATGCAACGGAAATCACAATTCAGAGACTATAAAGGCATTTAAACATAAATGTTAAATATAACAACTAGGAGGTGCGATTAAGTAATTCTTGGCAAAGTGAATTAGTTTAAGTCAGATTTTGACGGATCAGAATTCAAATTCCTACGCTTTTCTCCAAAATTATAGCTGTGGCTCTCTTAAGAAAACCCATCCTACGAAAATACGAACTTATAAGAGTATCTGTGAATGTGTAGGGATGTGTAAGCAACATTAAAAAGCATCCTTCCAAATGAAACACGCCCAAAACATCCTTCTATTTACAAAGGTCACTTACCCCTTTTTGATGGAATTTAGAAACTGCTGACTTGCACCATCTGAATAACTTCTGAAGTCGTCATTGACTGTGAATCCATTTTTCCATAATTTTATACTCACGTCTACCTGCAAAGCAGCAAGAAACAAAATGCATCATGTTAATAACAAAAGATGGCATCTCTGTGCATTGTAGAAATGCCTTATGTGTTCTTAACATTTTGTCAAACAACTTTAATAAGATGTGTGCTGAAGGGCTAGGATTTAATAATATTTATAATTTTTACTGCTTCATCGAGAACATCCTTAGTTGAAACTAGCACTTATTTCCCCCCTGCAAATGCGAGCAAAGAAGGCCGTAATTACTAGTCCAGTTTGGGGCCACTGCCTTGATTCCTTCTGAGGTGCCGGCAGCTTTACTACCTGCCATCGCTTCTGCAGTATCGGCCCAGTCAACACAGTGACAGGTAAATGGCATCCTACTATTATTGTGAAAACGGCGTTGACTTCACAGACCCTCTAAAAGGTCCATATTTTAAGAAACACCGAAGAGAACAAAGTTACGGGCATTCACCTGTTTCTTCTGTTCGGTGGGAGACAAGCATTTGGCGCCAAACTTCTGGGCTTCCTCAAAAAGGCTGTTGACAAAATATTCACAAGTTGTCTGTCGATTATCACTAAGAGGCTGGTTGTCGGATCCTGTTTCACAAACCCTATACACGCAAAAAAGAAAAATAAGCGTTATTAACTACTAGTTCTCTAAAAATGTCCACACATTATTCTAGGGAAGGGATCCTGGGCTGAGATGCTACTTCCAAGTCGCAGGTCAGACCCTCTTCTCGGCTGAGATGATAACAGAGAAGTGACCCTGGGAAGCCAGGACCCTTCTGCTCGAGAGCAGGACTTTCTCGAGTTCATCTACTGACACTGGGGAGGGGTAATTCTTTGTTGTGCGGGCTGACCTATGTTCAGTAGCAGCCGGAGCCTTGACCCATCAGATGTCAGTAGCATGCATGCTCTTCCTCCCCCGAAGTGTCATAACAACCAAAACATCTCTGGGGTGGGGACTGGGGGCAAATCTCACCAGGATTTTGAGAGAGACTGGAAGAGAGGGAGCGGGGGGAGGGAGAGAGAGAAAACATCGATTCACATTGACTGGTTGCCTCCTGCACGTGCCCCAAATGCCCTCGACTGGGATGGAATCTGCCACCCTTGGGTGTGCAGGCCAACCCTCTACCACTGAGCTACACCGGTCAGGGCAATAATCGACACTTTTTATAGCTCTTACACTGTGCCAGAAACTACAGACACCCGCATCCACATCTTAGAAGAAAAATGAGTGAGGGGGTTACCTTACACGTCTGGGTTACACAGCTAGCAAGTGGCGGAAACAGAATGTAAACCCTGCGAGTGTCGCCCAAGTCTGTGCTCCTAACCACGGTACGCTACAAAGCCTCTCTTAATAGCTAATGCTTATTGAGCACCTATTAATTCATGTTAGGAACCATTCTAAGTACTGTACACGTGTTAACTCCTTCAAGCCTCACAGGGATGGAAGAAGCACACATGGTTTTTATCCCTCTATAATAGATAACGAAAAAGCTTAAGCAATTTGCTCAAGATCACAAAGCTATTGGGAGGTAGAGCCGGAAACTGAAGCCAGGTTACCAATGTCTGAGCTCTTAATCACTGCACTAGGCTGTCTCTCAAAATAGCCATAATTACATAGTTATCAAATTGCTGATACTCGGGACAGAATTTTAATTTAAATACATTCTTTTTACTCTTCTAGGAAATTCTATATCTACCCTTAAGACATTCCATATTATCATAAAGTATTGATTATGCCTTTTCTAAGGCAATGACATGGTACTTCTCACTCAAAAACAATCACACCCTAAGATGATTTTTCACAACACTATTGATTTCCCCCTTTCTTTAACAGTATAGCTGTGTGTCCGTAGAGGATACTGTTCTAAAAGCTCAGGCCTTGGTGTTTAGGTACCTTCACTAAGTCACATTGACTTCGGGCAAGAAACTTAGCCTCTATGTGATTTGTCCTCTTCATCTGTAAAATGAAGATCCTACCACCTGTCTCATGTGGTCGTTGTAATGAGTAAATGCAAGTACATATAAAGGCCTACACCTGGTATACAGTGTGGACCAGTACACACACAGTAAGGGCTCAAATATTAGATAACATCATTAAAACCACTTTATGCATTACAGTTTTTAATTATTTCTTCTGTTCAGAAAGCAGGTTATACTTAATTACTAAGTAGAAAGCCAATAAAGCTGTGAGCATCGGGTAGCTGAAGTTTTATTCCTTTATCTTACCTATTTGGTAGGTAAGTTCTACTAAATGTCATTATGTTAATTCAAGTCATTCAAACATTTATTCAGTACCTACTATATGCTGGTGGTAGGGGGATACAAAGACGAGTAAGAAATAGTCTAGGTTTTTAAGAGGTTCAGAGCACAGTGAGATGCATTATAAATAGCTCTGTGCCCGAAGATTTGATAACTTCGATGAAATGGGACAATTATTTGAAAGGCACAATCTACCAAAACTCACATAAGGAGGAATAGATAATATGGATAGGCCTACATCTATTAAAAAATTGAATCAATAATTAATAATATTTCAAAACAGGAAGCACCAGGCATGAATGATTTCACTGGTGAATTCTATCAGACATTTAAGGAAGAAATGATACCAACTGTCTACAATCTCTTCCAGAAAATAAAAGCAGAAGGAAACACTCCTAACTCATTCTATGAAGACAGCATTATCCTAATGCTAAAACCAAACAAAGACATTACAAGAAAACTACAGACAATCTCTCTCATGAACATTTGCATTAACAAAATATTAGCATTTCAAATCCAACAATATGTTAAAAGAATCCTATACCACAACCAGGTAGGATTTATTCCAGGTAACAAAGCTGGTTCAACAATTAATATAACCCATTGCATCAATATAAAGAAGAAAAATCACCTTGTCTTATCAATAGATGAAGAAAAAATATCTGACAATGTCCAACACCCATTCACGATAAAAACTCTCAGCAAAGTAGGAATAGAGAGGAACTCCCTCAACTTGACAAAGAACATCTATAAAAAACCTACAGCTAATGTTGTGTTTAATGGTGAGAAACTAGATGCTTTCCCCCTAGATCAGGAACAAGAAAATCATGTCCCTTCTCACCACTCCTCTTCAATGCCATACTGGAAATCCTAGCTAAACCAGTAAGAGAAGAAAAGGAAATAAAAAGTATATAGGGCAGGAAGGAAGAAATAAAACTGTCTTTGTTTGCTGATGACACGGCTGTCTACATAAGAAATCCCAAAGAATCAACAACAAAAAACTCCTGGGACTAATAAGCAATGATAGCGAAGTTGCAGGATACAAGATTAATATACAGAAGCCTAGTGCTTTCCCATACACCAGCAACTAACAATTGGCTAGACAATTAAAAACACAACACTATGCACAGCACCATCTGTCAAACTCCACAGAACTATACAACCCAAAGAACGAACCCAAATGTAACTATAGTTAATAATAATGTATCAACATTAGTTTCCAATTATAACAAATATACCGCATTAATACAAAATGTTAATAACAGAGGAAACTCCGTGTGTGTAGGGGTGGGTAGGGACATGGGAACTGTGTGTCTTTTGCTCTATTTATTTGTAAACCTAAAACTACTCTTAAAAAGAAAGTTTATTATTAATAAAATAATTTTTAAATGAGCATGAAAGACATTCCTGGACAGAGAGGAAAAGAGCAGGAAAGTATACATTTAACTTAATATTTCTTTATAATTCAGGGACCCCTTTATATTTCACTATATTAAGCTGTCCTACGGCAAGATCCCACGGACATACGGATGCGCGTGGACTTGCCGTAGCACTAAATACACCCAGGGAACTTCATTATTTCATCTTGCTTTACTACTGTGTCAGCCTTTTCCTCACTCGTCACCATCATTTTCTGATTCAAACGTCAATGCTCCTCTTCACACCTGGGAAACCAACTACCGAAGTTGTGAAGGCTAAGTACACAGTCTTGGCGTCTCGGGAGCTCCTCCAGGAACAGAAAGCACACAAGTTTCAAGGCAGGGACGTTGAAACACCTGCTCTGTCTACAGAACAGCCTCCTTGGCTCACTTCTCCTTCACTAGTACGTTCTGCACGAGGAAGGTCATCCACCAGGCGCTGCCGAACAGGAGGGTTTGCATCTGGGTGCGCTTCGGGGGCACGTACGGTAAATGCGGATCTTCACCATTTATAGTCTGAACAACTCAGGCACTGAGAAAATCGGTCTCCTTTTCTTTTTTTACTGGACTGCCGTTTCTAACAAAATCTATTTTTGTTACAAAGAAAATGAAAAACTCTATTGCTACTACTTTTGTGTAGACACCTTACTAATTATTTAATTAAATTCAAAGGCCTGGTCCATGCTACAATGAAGATGAAGCTTAAAAAAAGTATGCTAAATGAAAGAAGTCAGTCATAAAAGATCACCTGTTACATGATTCTGTTTATGAAGTGCCTGGAATAGGCAAATCTATAGACAGAAAGCATGTTAGCGGTTGTCAGGGACAGGTGTAGGAGAGCGGGGTATGACCGCTAATGGGTATGGGGTTTCTCTTTGGGGTGACTTAAATGTTATAAAATGGACTGTGGTGATAGCTGCACAACTCTGTGAATGTAGTGAGAATCACTGAATTGAACACTTTAAGTGCATAAATTATATGGTATGTGAGTTAGATTTCAATAAAGCTGGGATGGGGGAGTGGGAGGGGAGAGATCAACCTAAGAACTTATATGCATATATGCATAACCCACGGACACAGGCAATTGTGCGGTGAAGGCCTGTGGGAGAGAGGGGTTGTGGGGTAGAGGGAATCGATGGGGAAAAAGGGACATCTGTCATACTTTCAACCATAAAGGTAAATTTAAAAAGTTTTCTGGAAAAAAAAAGTCCTAAGTTAATTTTAGTATTTTAAGTCCGTCATTCAATTTATTTCTGTGTAGAAAGAGTTAACACAGCAGGCCTGACTGCTGTCCTTTGAAAGGCTGCGTACTTTCCTTAGGAGAGTGGAATCTGAGTATGTCACTAGTCCCCAACAAAAAGCCTAGGCTCGTTTTCAATGACCTTTCCTGGTAGATACCATTTCACATGTGCTGTCAAAACTTAATACTGGGGGAATTAAGTGTGTCCTAGGTGACTCCACTGGGTGGGGATTCTTGGAAGCCTGTGCCTGGCTTTCCCTGGACTTCGCCCCATGTGCTCCTTCCCCTTTGCTGATTTTGCTCTGTATCCGTGCACTGTAATAAATCACAGTAGGATTCTATGCTGTGAATCCTGTCAGCAAATCATCAAACCCGGGGGTCGCCTTAAGAGACCCCTGTCACAATCCCACGATTATATAGTTAGTACCAAATATAAATGAAACAATAAACACAGTAGTCAAAAAGTAACATGTTTTTTGGTATAGAAGCATCTTCAAAGTATTTGTAAGTGTGAAATAAATGCTTGTCTGTCTCCTTAAATGAACTACGAATGAAAGAAATTTACCTCAAGGACTTAGGACAAAGAGCGTAACACAAAATGCATTTCACCTCAGATAAGTGAGAATAAGTGTTCTGTGTTGATAACAGCCATAGATTTTTGCATTACCATTTATTGAGTGCCTTCTATATGCTAATACTATGCTTTATATTGGCTATCTAATTCTCCCCCAAATCTTTCAGGTACCTTGGTAACACCTCAGTTTATAGATGAGATATTGAAGCTCAAATAATCTATCTTCATTGCTCAAAGGCCAGAAAGGTAGTGTAAGAGAGATGGGATTCAAATCTAGGTTTATCTGACTCCAAAGCCATGATATTTCCAACACAAGAGGCTAGCGAAGCAAACAGTTACTTAGATTTCTCACTTATATGACAGAAGTAATATGCAAACAGAGAAAATTTTAATTTTCTTTTTAACCAAAGAAGAATGTGTTTATTTTGCTTAAATTCTTAAAAATACTTTTTTGGCAATTGTCACATAAACTGTCCCAACAATGCAACAATGTTTTTTTATTAATAACAAGATGATTTAGTGACTTCACTAAAACCCATTCAATGCAGTGATGGTAAAAAAAAAAAAA